TTCTCTGCCATGTATGTTGGAAAATATTTTTCATAATTTTTTTTTCTTTTGGTCAAAAGGTATTTTTTTTTAAGTATATAAAAAACTTACTTCTGTAGTTAAACCTACATATGTATCTTCCAGTGCTTAGAACTGTCTTTTCCTAGAGATTATTTCAGGGTATGCTATAAGAAATCTGATTCTGTTATTGTTTGTTCATATTCCTTAAGCAGCATCTATTTTAATCATTATTCCTTTTTTTTTTCACTGATTTGAAATGTCTCATGAGGCTGATTTCTACCTGCYTGCCCTGACAGCATGATGTGGGCTCTGCCCTTCCCTTCAGCCCTGTCCTGCTCTGGTATGAGGCTCCCAGCGATCCTTCCTTCCCAGCCCAGGCTCTTTATCTCTTTATACATGTGATTTCTTCTGCCTAGACAGTTTCCTTGCAGCACCCCCACACCCTCACAGAGCTCGCTAACCTTTGCTCATCCTTTTGGTCTCATTTAAAATAGTATTTGTGGGCTGAGTTTGTGGTTCAGTGGAAGAGCACTCACCTGGCACATGTGGGCACTGGGTTCAATCCTCAGCACCACATAAAAAATAAATAAATAAAAATAAAGGTATTGTGTCTCTCTGCAACTAAAAAATATATTAAAGAATAAAATAAAATAGCATTTGTTCAAGTGGCCTTCTCTGACCAGTCCCCCATTATAAAAGATCTCATWGTTTGTATCACAGTTTATGATGAGAGGATTATAGCGCCCCTGGTGGTTAGTGYCTGGCACATAAAAGGTACTTAATATCTATTTTATTTACCAAATTAACTTGAATCTAATTTTACATTGGCTATATTTTTCTTTTCTAAAATTTCTTTAGCATTTATTCTAGATCTGTGCTGTCCAATTTGGTAACCATTAGCCACACATGCACTTGAAATGCAACTAGTAGGGCTAGGGATGTAGTACAGTGGTAGAATACTTACCATGTGTAAGGCCCTGGGTTCAATCCCCAGTCCTCCCAAAACAAAAAACAAAGCAATAACAAAACCAACCCCTGAAATGCAACTAGTCCACACATGTTGTATATAAAATACACATCAGATTTCAAAGACTTAATATGGAAAAAGGAATTTAATTCCTTTTAAAAACGTCTCATAGCTTTCTAAACTGTTGTTGATTTTGTGGTGCAATGTTTTAGATACATTGGGTTAAATATATTGTGAAAATTTTAGTTTTTTATTTTAAAAAATATAATTTACTAACACCAGGCACTATGCTGCATGTCTGTAATCACAGCAACTTGGGTGGCTGAGGCAGGAGGATTGCAAGTCTGAGGCCAGCCTAGGCAGTGTAGTAAGGCGCTCAGTAACTTAATGAGACTCTCTCAAAATAAAAAAGGCTGGGGATGTAGCTCAGTGGTAAAGCATTCCTGTGTTCAACCCCCAGTACCAAAAAAAAAAAAAAAGTACTAGATGGCTTGGGTTGCAATACAGTGATAAGGCACTTGTCCAGCATGCATAAGACCCTGGGTTTCGTCCTTGGAGCTGCAAAGAAAAAGAAAAAAAAAGCAACTAGAAAACACTGTTATACATGTGTTTTATTTTTCATTGTTCTAGCATGTTTGAGATCCTGGGTTTAATTCCCAGCATGGGGTCGGGGGATGAATTGAAATCATTTTGTCAAATTTCTAAGAAAATATTCCAYTGAGTCGCATTACATTTACAAATTAATTTTAGATAAAGGTGTCCGCCTCTATAGTATTGAATCTTCCTTCAGAAGCATCTCTTCATTTATGAATTTGTATTTTGTCCTTGTATTAAGGTAGTATTGTATTTTCTTTTTGTTGGCCCTACTGAAACCAGAATTTTGAGTGAGACTAGATTCCCTGTTTGGTCAATTTCCTCTGGGTTTTTGTCCTACAAATTTTGAAGAAGGGAAAAGCAAGCAGAGCAGAATTTATTTAAGGGAGAAGAGATAGAACCCCTGTCATGCGTGAGGGAGCCTCATAGCAGGAAAAAAAAAAATGGTGTGCCAGCTTAGGAGTTTATATATGGTTCTGGGATGAGCATGGAACAAAATCTATATAAAACAGGCATTGAAAAAGTATCAAGGGGCTAGGATTGTAGCTTAGTGGCAGAACACTTGCCTAGCTTGTGTGAGGCACTGAGTTCTATCCTTAGCACCACATAAATATAAACAAAATAAAGGCCTGCTGTTCATCTACAAATACAATAAAAATTTTTTTAAAAAGTATCWAGACTATCATTTGGACTATCAATACCCCCACCTACCTTTCTATAACTTAAGTCTGAGTTTATCCCCATTTTCCATTTTCCACCTCAGGAATTGGCTGGAGGTGTGCCCACAGGTTGTGTCTTTAACATTTGAAATAGGCCTTGGTGGTGCTCATTAACATGTCTATTGGTTAGCCTATGTGGTTGAATGGGACCAATTATCCTGACTGCCTTGTCATTTTACTATCTATTTTATTTATCCTCATTCACTGTTTATTTATCCTCATCCTCACCCAAGTATTGTATAGTTTCTGTTGCTATGTTGCTGTCTGTAAGTTGTTATCTTACACGTTTTTTTTTTAATGTGCAGTTATTTTTGAGACCCTCCACTTCTTAAATCCTAACTGTAATATATATTGCATATGATTTGTTTGTATTTCCTATGTAAATAGTCATAACTGTGTGTAACAGTAATTTGTCTCTTTCTCTTTTTTTTTTTTAATGGCTATATGCCTTAATTTCCCCTTGTTGTGTTGCTTTGACTGGAAGTTCCAGAACAATCTAAGAGTAGTGATGGTAAAAATGTTGTCTGTCTTCCAGTTCCTGATGGGAATGCCTTACTAAAGTGTTTACCAGAATGTGCTCCAGGGAGCATTAATTCTTTGGAATATTAATGTGTGTACCTTGAGAAAAGAGTTCCAATTAAATGAGTTTGCAAACTGCTGAGTTAAACAGAATGCTCCTCTGCAGGACTTTTCAGATGGGTTATTATGCTAATGTGTTTTTGATCCCTAGGAGATAAGGAAGGATCTGGGGCTGGCTAATTCATGGGCTTGTGTTCTACCAAGTAGTTTTGGGACATGCAGACATAATGTTTCCTTTTTAAGGATGCTGCTGTCATTGACATGCAGTAGATACTGTTTATTATATYAAGAAAGTATTGTTTGCTGACTAGCTTATTGAATATTCCTTCCTTACTCTGAGGTGTTCAACTTCCTCAACTGCATTTTTGGTATAGTATTGATTTAGTCATATGTATTTTTTCCCCTTTGACCTTCTTATTTTATAGATTATATTTGTATATTTCCTAATATGTGGCTACTCCTACTTTTGGGAAGCAGCTGTTCTTGGTTATAATATATTCTTTTAATGCGTTGTATTTCCTAGTATTTCCATTAGAACTTTAAAATCTCTACTTAGACAAAGTAGACAGTGTTCTTTGTGCTATTTGTCATCTTCTGGTATCAGATTTGTGCCAGATGAACTGAAATGCTTTAAATGTTTCTACATGTGTCTGGAACAGTGAGAACGGCCTGAAGATCATTTGTGCCTTGGCACTTCTGTTTCTTTTTTTATTTAGTTCTGCCAATTTATGTTATCCTAAAAATATGTCCATTCCATACAGATTTCAAATTGATTTCAGTCGTAAGTCTAGGATAAATAAAGGCACAGTATTCCTGTTTGACTAAAATGATTTTGAATTTTTAAAAAAATTCTAAAGTGATACAGTTCCACTAACTGATCCTTTCCTGCAAGTCTTGTATTTGGTTGCACATTGTCTTGTCTTGAAATTGTTAAATTTTTTTTTCTGTGTTTTCTTGCTTTCTTTGAGCTTAATTTGTTATTTATTTACTAACCTCCTGAGTTGAGTAGTTTCACTTATTTTTAATACTCATTCTTTAATGGTAAAAAGTTTGAAGGCTTTGACTTCTCTTATTGCCTTTCTTGTTGTTGGTGATATTTTCTAAGCCTCCAGCATTTCATTATGAAAAATTTCAAATATTCATAAAAGTTGAGAGAATTCTATAGCAAACACCTGGATACCTGCCATCCGGACCCTGCCATTGTTAGCATTTTATAATGTTTGCTTTATTACATACCTGTCCATCTAATTTTTTGGAGAAACATTCCCAAGTAAGTTGAAGACCTATGTAAATGTCACTCAGACCCTTCTTTACTGCTGATTTTGTTTTCTCATTTTATAAATACTTGTATTCCATTCTGATTTTTCTCTGATTCAATACCTATTAAGGAGGGCTTTAAATTTTTATTGGTTGGATCTTAAAAACTAAAATATAATTGTTAGATCTCATCTTGTGTTTTAGTCAGAAAATGTAGCCTGGCCTCTCTGTACTTCATCAGTTTTGAGCAAGCTGGTGCTGCAGATTCCAGACAAGAGGGAAGCAGAACTGTCCCAGGTGCACCAGCACTGTGAGCTCTAGTGGAGGTGAGGCACTTTTGATGTGTCCATCACTCTTCTTGCTCCTACTCCTAAAAATAACTTTACTGGAAGGGACTGAGCTTTGCTGTGTCACAGAAAAGTGTGCAGAGCAGAAGGTGGAAAAGTGCAAATCATGACAGTACTGACAAGRGACCTGCTTCACTCATGATGCCCAGTGTGCTGTTAACTTGAAAAATACCAGTTAGAAATACACAGATAAGGGCTGGGGATGTGGCTCAAGTAGTAGCGTGCTCGCCTAGCATGCGTGAGGCACTGGATTCAATTCTCAGCACCACATAAAAATAAAATAAGGATATTGTGTCCACTAAAAAAAAAAAAATACACAGATAAGTCAGGTCATCCTTTAGGTGAATTTCAGTAATTTTTAGAGTCTTTCAAATCCTCAAAAGTAAGTGAAACAGGGAAATATTTTTTCTGAAAGTATACTAGTTTCTCAGTTGGAGCAGAAATAGCCCTATTATGTCTAGTGTTTTATTTTTGATCAAGGGAATGTTGGATGGTAATGATACTGAGCTAATTAATCCTGTGGTTATTTGGCTTTAGGTAAATTAACTGAAACCTGAAAGACTAAAAAAAAGCAAGAGGAAGAATGTTGAGGCAGACCTTAGGAGGTACGATAGTTGCAGTGTTTAGATGTTGTCAGCTTGTGTTTATTTCACTTGTGCTTGGTGAGCAGCCATTGGTGAATTATGAAATCTCTCTTTTTCCACAGATTGCGCTTCATGTCGGTAGAAATGGACAGCAGCAGTTTTATTCAGTTTGATGTGCCCGAGTACAGCAGCACCGTTCTGAGCCAGCTAAATGAACTCCGCCTGCAAGGGAAACTATGTGACATCATTGTCCATATTCAGGGTCAGCCATTCCGAGCCCATAAAGCAGTTCTTGCTGCCAGTTCTCCATATTTCCGGGACCATTCAGCATTAAGTACCATGAGTGGCTTGTCAATATCGGTGATTAAAAACCCCAACGTGTTTGAACAGTTGCTTTCCTTTTGTTACACTGGAAGAATGTCCTTGCAGCTGAAGGATGTTGTCAGTTTTCTGACAGCAGCTAGCTTTCTTCAGATGCAGTGTGTCATTGACAAGTGCACGCAGATCCTAGAGAGCATCCATTCAAAAATAAGTGTTGGAGATGTCGACTCTGTCACTGTTGGTGCTGAGGAAAATCCCGAGAGCCGTAATGGAGTGAAAGACGGCAGCTTCTTCACCAACCCTGTTGAGATCTCCCCTCCATACTGCCCTCAGGTACGRCAGCCCGCTGTGAGCAGTGATCTCCGGATGGAGACGACTCCCAGCAAAGCTTTGCGCAGCCGCTTACAGGAGGAGGGGCATTCAGACAGGGGGAGCAGTGGGAGTGTGTCTGAATATGAGATTCAGATCGAGGGGGACCACGAGCAAGGGGACCTCTTGGTGAGGGAAAGCCAGATCACTGAGGTTAAAGTGAAGATGGAAAAGTCTGACCGACCCAGCTGTTCTGACAGCTCCTCCCTAGGTGATGACGGGTACCACACCGAAATGGTTGATGGGGAACAAGTTGTGGCAGTGAATGTGGGCTCCTATGGCTCTGTGCTCCAGCATGCATATTCCTATTCCCAAGCAGCCTCACAGCCAACCAGTGTTTCAGAAGCTTTTGGAAGTTTGAGTAATTCTAGCCCATCCAGGTCCATGCTGAGCTGTTTCCGAGGAGGGCGTGCCCGCCAGAAGCGGGCTCTGTCCGTCCACCTGCACAGTGACCTGCAGGGCATGGTACAGGGATCTGACAGTGAAGCTGTGATGAGCAACCCTGGGTATGAGAGCAGTCCCCGGGAGAGGAGTGCAAGAGGTCACTGGTACCCATACAATGAGAGGTTGATCTGTATTTACTGTGGGAAGTCCTTCAACCAGAAAGGAAGCCTTGACAGGCACATGCGCCTCCATATGGGAATCACCCCCTTCGTGTGCAAGTTCTGTGGGAAGAAGTACACACGGAAGGACCAACTGGAGTACCACATCCGGGGCCACACTGATGATAAACCATTCCGCTGTGAGATCTGTGGGAAGTGCTTTCCATTCCAAGGTACCCTCAACCAGCACCTGAGGAAAAACCACCCAGGCGTTGCTGAAGTCAGGAGTCGTCTAGAGTCCCCTGAGAGAACAGATGTGTATGTGGAACAGAAACTAGAAAATGATGCATCAGCCTCAGAGATGGCCCTAGATTCCCGGATGGAAATTCATACAGTGTCAGATGCTCCTGATTAAGATGGTAAAGAAGTGCACCCAAACAAAGCACATTAATCAATGCATATTTGTGATTTGCTTTGTTGTAATCTTTGGTTTTCCCAACCATCTGGAAATCTCTTGGTCTCTTGGCAGTTTTTCTAAAGTTTCTGGATGGAACACTTCATTGTGTTTATCCTTTCCCCGCCCTCTCTCCCCCAAGGAGCTCAAAGCATGAAGGGCAACATATCCAGGGAAAACATGGGCTGACAGTATTCCTCTTTGGCTGAACTCTTAATCCAAAATCCTCCAGTGAGTTAGCTATGCCAACTAGTTGACCTGCCATTCTCTGCCAAGAGGCATACTCTCTCTCATTGTGGGCACTGACACCAGTGCATTTCCACGGAGGGACTAGGATGCCGTCAGCTGATACAAATGGGTAACCTTTTCTAATTTAAACTTACTTTAGGGGGTAGTTAGACAATTTATATATATATATAATAAAACGATTATTATATATATAGTATATATACATTCTCAAATTTGAGTTTATTCTGGTTGAGGTGAATGTAAGAGGAATATATAATTTAATACAATGTGAACAGAGCTTTTGACTCTGTCTCATCCCTACCTAATATGTTACTTTTGCCCCTTTGTTTTCCTTACAGAAGAATGTTAATAGGTTTTCATATATATTAATCATTGTGTCCAAAAGCAAGCAAAGCAAATCACAGTGTTCACAGCTCTGCTTCATAACAAGTACATAAACCAAATGCCATAAAATTTCTTCAACTCTAGTTGGGAACCCTTTGGAATTTTTGTTCGTTGTCTGGCAGGAAAGCTGGACGACCTGTGGTGCTGACCTTTTTACATAGTATAGTGTTATATTAGCCAACCCCAAAGGAGCAGTGGTTTTCAAGGTTTTTACCGGCCTACAAATCTACCTTCATTCCGTACTGTAGAAACATACATACCAGGTAACTAAATCGAATCACTCTCTACCATGAGTTAGTCCTCGCACTAAAGGAAAGGGATTTGTAGTTTTGTCTACAAAATTCTCCAAGCAGTGTTGTGGTGTTTTTGTTTTCTTCCTCCTTTTTCTTTCCCTTTTCAAACAGCCAGTTCAGGTGCATAGCAACTTTTTCTACATGCAGTTCCCTGGGAAACTGCAGAACTTGGAATTTGTACTTTTTGTAAAGCTATACTCTATGGGAATTGCAAGCAATATATCTATCTTAGTATTGTGTGTGCTAACGAGAGCCTCGGTGGCTCCCCCACTCTCTCAGTGTTTCCTGCTTAAAGAAACCAACAGTTAAAAGCCCTCTGAGATACTCAGTGTGTCACCAAATTTGTGTGTGTATCACCATATTTTTGGTCACGTGGTGCTATTTTTGTTAAGTATCTTTTAGGTCAGTATAGTTGTAGAAAATGTGAAATTTAATGGTAGTTGTGAATTACAGTTATTTTCCTCTCTTTGGTTCATAGCTTGAAGAGAGACCTCAAAAGCATGTACGTGCTGGCAAACACATTACTGTATACCTGATCCTGTTTGAATAATGTTCTATTGGTAGGAAAAGTCTTCACTATTGTGTTCACATATACAAACAGGCTTTACAAGATCGCTTTGGTGCTGTAGACTCCAGCAGCGGGCAATCCTGGAAGCAGCTTGGTGGTGAGTCTTGCTGCAGGCTGCCCTTGGGATGTCAGCACTGCAGCCTCTGTCTGTGGACCTGGACTCTTGAGTCCACACTCAGCGCATCTCCACAGGGGAACAGTGCTGCCATCTAAGAGAGGAATAGAAACAAAAGGCAGCCTCTGAGGCTGTGCATTAAGGAATGCAGAAATGGACGTTTGCTGGTGTTCCATGCTTTTTTGGCTCTTAAAATACCAACGTAGATTTGGGGAATTATTTTGGTTTGGGTTTTTTGTTTTGTTTTTAAGAAAAAAAAGTCATTCAAACCCTTTGTGTGTAATAGCCCGTGGGTGGTGGCTGTGCAGTAGCACCTCTTTAGCACACAGGACCTGTTCACGTGTGAACTGCTACGCTACACATCAGTGTTAACTCCGAGTAGATTACACTCTAATCCTGCTGCTCCTGAGGAGCAGCTCTTGCTAAATCGGGTATATAGTATGCCTTTTTCCTCGTCAAACTGCCTAAGTGGGGGTTTGTTCTCTCCTTGAAGCACTTGTACAACTCCTGATAAAGCCGCGTGCCTCACGGGGAGGCTGGACCCCAAGTGTTTACCCACTTAAATGTGTTCTGGGGTTTCAGGTAAATGTTTGTTGATTTTTTTTTTCTTTAACATGAATAAGTTTGATTTTGATTTTTTTTTTTTTTAAAGAATTGAATGCAAAAAATTTGTGTTGTATTACAAATTAAGTTTGTGACAAGAAAGACCCAAATCCAAGGACATGAGAGGTCAAGCTCAGGGAAGGAACCTCCTTTTCACTCAGGCTTGGGGCCTTCTGCAAGGCCTCTAGAGCTTTCTGCAGCATATGAGACAAGTTGGGAGGGAGAACACTTGGGGCAAGCACCTTTAGTGTCCTGGTTCTTGTCATCATGTCCGTCTTAACCTTATTTACATGAAGTTCTTGTAATTGTAAATTTGTTTAACTGGTTTGAGTTTACCAAAGAGTGACTTATCCAAAATTGTCTTTGACAAAAATATACATTGCTTTGATTGTACAGTTCAGGTTCAAACATTGTCATGGGACTGTTAAGGGGCAGAAAATTGATTGAGTTTCTCTCTAATAATCATGATTCCATAATTTGCAAGTTCCACTTGCTCCCATTCCTATTGCTAACACTTTACCCTTTCCACTGCTAGCAGTGTTAAGAATGAATTCTCAAGCCATAACACAGTACTGTAAAGTTCCGCAGGGCTTCGAGGGAGGCAGCACGTAGGCCAGCACACAGCTGAGTAACCTTTCTGAGCATTCGCACTGTCATGCCTTCCAGTGTGCATGACTGGTGAGAGGGTCACTCCACTCAGATGGGGCAGCAGCAGTTAATTGTGCCTTGCCACATGAGGATGTGCCAGGAGGATTAACATGACCCCAGAACAGAAACATTCCCTCCCTGAAGTTCACGTCTCCACAGACGAAGTACGCTGTGTAACTCCTTAGAGCAACTCTTTTTGGAAAGCAAAGTCCCTATTTCTGTACAGTTTTAGGTTAGGTGTTTTCATTTATATCAAATGCASAAATCAATTAAGATAAAGTGATATGTGAAAAAAATCTTTTGCAGTAAAGTATATCCGGAATCCATAAGGCTTGTTCATAATTGAGTCTCTTCCTGAGCTACCTTCTCAGCATTAGACAATGTGAAGACAGTGACAGCGTCCTTTCTATCAATGTTTAACCTGTTACTACAAACTGTGAAGACAAAGAATTTTATACTTGTACTAATGTTTGTGGTTTTAAACAGTTTTTTCATTCTAATCAGTTCTCTACCCTCTAATTTCTACTAAAGCTGTAAATACATTTAGAAATTATATTTGTAAATACAGTATATGAAGACAAGTTAACTTTTTGGTTAGTGGAAAGCCTCCCACCCAGTTGGCACTGCCTTAGCAGTTGTCTGATTTTTTTGTGTGTTGTTTTTAGGTTTGTCCCCCCCCCCCCACTTTTTCTTTTTTTAAACAGCAGAAAGGATACTGTCAGTTCACTGTTAAGCAGAATATACTGTAGAACTAAATTGATAATTTTTAAATCTTTCAGAGCATATATCTCTTCTGATGAAAGCAGTTATAACCAACTCTGTTTTTCCCTTAGCCCAGACCATAGCCTGCATGTTTTTATGTGTGGTTTTGTTTTTATTTTTTGTTTTTACAGCCTAGACTCTAGGAAGAATTTGCAGGAACACAAAACAAGGGCTGGGGGGAATCATCTATGTGAATGAGCTTTACTTTAAAGAGATTGATGTGTTTTATTTTAACAACTTTTCTGTTTGTTACTGTGATTTTTTTGTTGTTGTCGCCGTCATCGTCRTTATTGTTAAATTCTATAATGGTTTCCTGTGAAGCCTCCACTGAAAGGGACTCAAATATGCAACACCTAAACTATTTTCCAAGGGCACATGCCCCTTGAATGGTGCTTCTAGACTGGTCAGGGTTATTTATTAAATTTTATATATGAAAGTATTGGGGAATTATGTAAATTCTTTATATGAAACTATCTAGTTCATAAATCATAGATTTCATATTACTCAGTGCAACTGAACTGAACGTTCAGAAAAGTCATTCACATTGTTCCAAATTTGTAACGGTTATCATGTCACATGCATCTTTTTCAGTAAGTGCCAGAGTGTGTCTGCTGTTTCTGCCTTGACTTCTCAGCCCAGAAGAGAACCTGTTTTCTCTGGTTCCCTCTCTGGGTCTGGCACAGACAGGGCTATTGTAAATCTTGATCAAGTCCCGGAGTCAGCCTTGCTTGGCACTCCGAGTAGCCGATTCAGTAAACAGACCTCTTGCTGCCCCTCAGTGACAAGTATGCTGTGAATTCAACCTTTGGACTTGTGGCCTAAGCCTCTGGTTGCTGCCCTGACTAGAGTAAGAGGTAAACTTACCTGGTTTGTTTGAGAATGACCATTTTCCTAATGTGAAAACCATCTCTCTCACCACTTTTATTAGTAGGGCTAACATTGTTTTCCGTTATAAATGGTTGAGCAATTTGAATGACTTAACACAGTGTCATTATCTTGCAATATAAACTGGTAACCTCACAACTCCACACTTCATCACCATATGAAGTAAATGAAGCTAGCTAAGCGGATGCTGTATCAACTAGTAACTTGCCATTAAGGATTATTTTATAGCATGGATTTAAGACTATTTATTCAAATGATATTTTACTCTGTATTCATTTTGTTTTAGATTTGTGACATGAATATTTCAGTGCTGCTTAATTTTGTTCTGAATTCTTGTTTCTTGCTTGTAAATGGCTTTTTTATGGTATAAAGTCAATGGAAATTGCTGTTTGTAAATAAAAATGCTGCTAGAGCAACTGTGCTGTGTTTGCCCTCTGTTTTCGCCTGCCCTGGCCTCAGAGTTTCCCTGGCCCTGACAAACATCTGCTGTCTCATAGTTTCTGTAACCACTGTTTTCAAAAGGCAAAGGTTTCATAAGAAGCTCTTGTGCCACAATTGGGCAGAGAAGAGATAGGAGCAGGTGTGTTTCTGACCTTTCTTTTGTGTGGCTAAGACTGGATTAGCAGGGGTGAACCCTGCTGTCCCCACCTGCCTGCAGAAGTACCCATTTGGTTTCTTGAAAGTGCCTCACCTGGTCCTGCACAGAGCTCGAAGCTGTACGGGCTGTCTCTTCTGTCTCCTCTGTCTTCTCCCACTTGGCCAAGTCAACTCCTCCGGGTTCCAGTTCTGCTTCCCTACAAGGGCCCTTTACAAAGGTCTTGTTGAGCTGGGTTCCTGCCCATGGAGCACTTAGTACCATTTGTAATTGGATGTTCATTAGTGGGATTATTCAGCTCATCTTTACCCCACCAATCTGGCAGCCCTCTGCTGCAGGGATCCTGAACTCATTCTCACTTGTGTGCCCTTGGCACAGGCCCTGACACCACTGCAGGTGCTTGGCAAGTGTTCTTTGAGTGAATGGGCAGTTGCACATCTTCAGGAGGGTCAAGCAGGGCAGCAGGGCTGGTACAGGGTGGGATTCGGTTTGGCTTCTGTGGAGCTGGCTTGCTCCTTATACTCATGAGTAAGGGCTGCTGTATATAGCAAGTTCTCTGCCTTCTCTCCAGGGCTTTTCTATGGTTAGGTGATGGTGAGATGATATGAAAGGTCCATGCTGAAGCCAGCTTCACTTGCTATTGGGGGCCCAGGACTCCTGAGGAACAAAAGGGGAGGATGAAGAAAGTGCATCCACAGGCCCGCCGGGAGGCCTGCCTTCTAGCCCTGCTTTTGCCTTTCCACGACCTCAAGCAACCTCTTTGACCCCAGTTTGACTCTTCGGGCTCTGACATGTTGTGAGGCAGTGGCTCCTGATAGTGTGCCTATTCCCATGGGGCTAGAAAAGTAGCCCAACCTTCCCTCCACAGGATTAGAGGAATATCCAAGAGGATGTGGTCCTGGTGGTGGGAGCACCCATGGGAGCACCCATGGGAGCAGATAGACCGAGTCAGAGCACATATATAGATCTTCCTGGGCTGCATTCCTGGCAAAGGCCATTGGCCTTTCATTTGTCCTGAAGTCAGATTATCCTCACTTTCATTTCTTCCAGTTGCAATTCAGGTGTTGCCTGTGCCCTGCAGGCTTCGGGGATGTTCATGATGCCCTTTCAAATATTAAAGTACCAGCCCCTGTCCAATTTTGCCTGCTGGTCTTCATCTCTATTTCCTGGACCATTTCCTTGAATGCTTCTCAGACCTCAGGGACATATTTGAACATCTGTTGTGATGTTTGGGTTTTTGCAGTAGGTCTAGTTTGCATGCCTTTTGTCAGCAGAGAGGGCTCAAAACATCAGAACACACACGTGCACACATGCAGTGGCAGAAGAGGCCACTGTGAGGGAAGAGATTAGACAGCTAGTTGACCTGGGGTGTATGTGGAAGCCCCGTGGTATGCTTGCTCTGCCGTGCTTATCAAGGTGTATGATAAAGCTCTTCCTCCCCCTTGCTTGGTTCAGAGTACCGATGATGTAAAGGGAGGAGATCTGTGTGTGTCACAGGGGGTTGTAATGTGGACTCCCCCGGGACCACCTTCCAGAGTCTGAGAGAACAGTGCCTGCTGTCCACTCAGGGCAGGTGAATTGGTTCCCAGACCCTTGTCTCTGAAACAACTTGCTCACTGGGGCTCCTTTTATTCTGCCTCAGCCCTAAGGATAGCCTAACTTGGCTATTGTGGTGATGTCTGGGGTGGGGTCTGAAAGGCTGCAGAGTCACTATAGTGACATTACCCCAGAAGCAGCTGTCCAGATAGTGTCATTGGATGTGCTGCTGTGACAGCCTTGCTTTGCAGGACAGATGAGCCCAGGTCAGCCTTGCTGTGAGGCAGTGAGGCCCTAGCACTTCTGCCTTGTGGGTTCTGCCCTGGGGACATTTGTCCTTGATGGGCTCTCCTGGGCCCCACTGTGACCACATGGCCAAAGCTTCCCTTGAATCCTGTGGGCATATTCAGATACTATGTGTGCACAGGCATGCACACACAATTCTTTTAAATGAACAGATAAAAAGGTCATTTTGAACTGTCCCCTTCCCCCAGAGTGTCAGATATGGAACGGAGAGATCTGCGCCCTTCCATAATGGTGGGAAGAGACCTCACAGGGACCTGCCAATGCTGGGACTCTTACACTGGTCTACATCCATCTTCTGCAGTTTCTGCTTATGGAAACTGCTGCCTCCCAAGGGACTTGGAAATTTGACAGCTTTTGATGATACAAAGTCCTTGTCCTGAGTCCCAAATCTGCTTCTCTGGTGCTTCCGCCCTTGGCCACATTATGTTTAAACATTCTGTGACAACATTCCCATCTCTGTCTAACCCTCTCTCTGGGTTGCTCCAGGCTACATGTGACTCTGGGCTATTGTCTTTTCTTTATAGAGTCTAGGGCCAAAAGGACATATTTCTCCTTTACATCACCCACACCTTCTCCATTTTGGGGTTTTAATCAATATGATTCTGGGACTTGTTTCTGATAGTTTTGTTGGAACTGAAGTGGTAGAGCCCAATACTTGGAGGAACACTTCTTTGGCAACCTGATCTTTTCTGTGACTGTTTAACCAGCCTGTCACTGCCAGACAGTCTATTCACCACACACCTGGGTCCCTTGAGCTATCTTTGGGGATTTTCTAAATGATTTTTCTTTTTTTTTCATCTTCAGCCCCTTCTCTCTTTCCCCTTACTTCTCTAAATGTCTGTGTGAAAATTGAAAGCCAGCCACTTTGGGAGATCTGGACTCTGAGCCTGGACTCCAGCATCTGACTTTCTAGAGCCTCCTCCTTCCCCTTTGATGGCTGATTCTTCTTGCTCTCCGTGGTGCCTTGGCTGGCCCTGTCTTGCCTGTGCTGTCTCTGCACAGGAAGGCTCTCACCAGTGGCTTTTTTTTTTCACTTTCTCTTTGCCCTTTCATCACACGGCCTCTCCATTCCTCCTTGCCTGCTGCACCCCCTGACCAGGCAGGTGGTGAAATAGGAATGCTGTTAAGTTTCAGTAACTGAACTACCTCCACTGCATTTCCCCCTGTCCCCAGAATGGGCTTCCTGCTACCAAGTTCTGTTGAAAGGCCCCACTTCCGACTGTGGTCAGGGGTGCCCAGCTGCAGGCCCTGTGACACTGGGAACTTCCACATTGGAGGTAAGGCCTGTGCCTCTTGCCCACGATTGCACTTAAAAACAGTTCCCAGTGATGTGTCAGGGACTATCTGGATGCATTTGTCCAACCTGCATGGAAAGGGTTGGTGGTCCCCTTGCAGGAGGCTCTATGTGGATTGGTCAGCCACATGGAGCTTGCTATATTCTTACCCAGGGTCCTAAGATGGCTGGCTACACCCTCAGGTCCTGGAGGGCAGAATCCCGGTGGAGCCCGGGACACATCCTGTAAGTAGAGGCTCAGTCTTACTGCTAAAATTATCTGGGGCTACTTTTGAGGTCCCTTGAGAACCCGTATCCTGCTGGAGGGAGGAGGGACCAGAAGTGACCTAGTCTAAGAAGCCCAGCTAGGTGAAGAGGGAGCAGGACCATGAAGCAAAATTCAGGTGACTGACTTAAGTAGTAAATTATAGAAAAATGAAACAATGAGCATACTAGTTTAAAAAAAATGGACATGAAGACTTAATTGACATTTTTGTTTATAGCAAAGATTTTTGATGAGACTAAAACTCTAAGGGAAAAAATAGATTTCACTATATACAATGTAAAATGTTTAGTAAAAGAAGACAACAAAGCCATAAAAAATGGAAAACTGCAAGTTGAGAAATAAAAACACTGTAATAAGTAGAACAAGAATTGTTAACATTAATAAGAAAAAATGAATAATCCAGTTTAAGAAGGGGAGAGAATATAAACAATCCACAAAAGAAATGCTTAGGGCTAATAAATACATAGTTAAGATATAAGATATTTTACCTCACTAAAAAGCAATTGAAGTGATAATGAGAGACCATTTTTCTACAGTGCCAGTGTTGTTGATGTTGGGGGGAAGTGGGACATTCTTACCCTACTGTTGGAAACAGAGCCAGATGTTGAGGTATGCTGTATTTTAGTGTAGGCTAAGAAATTTGGGTTTCACTTTGTGGCCATGGGGAGGCAGCAGAACTCAAATCACGTTTAAAAGGCTCTTCCTAGAGAACATTGTTGCAGAGAGGGAGGTTTATATCAAGGAAGGTCAGCAAGCTGGGAATCCAGGGTGCATTGCCTTGGGACTTTGCTAGATCTGGGGCCAGTCCTCAGGCTCGTAGACTTGGAAAGCCATCTGTGGCACCCAGGGAAAGTAAACTCCCAGTCACCAAGTGTAAAGTCACCAGGACGTAGCATTAGTATGTTACCATGCTAAATTTTATTATGAAATATAAGCGGTTGCTAAAATGTAACACGTTTAACTCATTAATTTTAAGCTAGTAGTACTACCAGTGATGACTGACTCTTATTAAACATCTAATAGGTGCTAGACAATATCCTAAGTACTTTTCATTCATTACTTCCTGGAATCCTCAAAAGGATTCTGTGAGGTGTTGCTGTGGTTTACATGTTGAATGTTCCGCAAGCCCGTGTGAAAGGCTTGGTGCCAGGGTGGTGGGATGGGGAGATGGAGCCTAGCCGGAGGTCCTTAGAACATTGGGGTGTGCCCTCAAAAGGGACTGGAGATATGACTGTTTTGCTCCTACATGTGGTGTATCTACCTCACCAGAGGTCAAACCACTTGGACTTGTACCTCCAAAACTGTGAGCTAAATAAACTTCTCTTTATAAAGTTAACAGCCTAAATATTTTTTCCCTTCTTTTTTTTTTTTTTCTGAGCTATATCCCCAGCCCTCAAATAGTTTTTTTTGTAGCTACACA